CAAAATAGGATTAGAGGGGAATTTCTTCAACATAGTAAAAAGTATCTATGAAAACCCAAGAGCCAACATTGTTCTTAATGGAGAGCGGTTAAAGGAATTCTTAAAAGTTTTTAATTAATATTGAAGACTACTTGATATAATTGAAATTAATTTTAAGAAGTCAATATCCAGTTGGTTGTTGTTAGGTGCTGTCAAGTTGAGTATGACCCATAGTGGCCCTGTAAACAGCAGATTTGAACCCTGTTCTATCCTGTGCCATCTTTACACTTTGTGACACATTAGAGCCCTGGGCAGGAGTCACTGTATCTGTCCACCAAGTCGAAAATCTTCATCTCCTTCACTGGCCTTCTAATTTTCCAAGCATATGTCCCTCTCCAAGAAATAGCCCCACCTAACAATGTGCCCAAAGTATGTGAGGTGAATCACATCATCTTTGCTTCCAAATAGCTCTCTGGCTGCACCCTCTCCAAGACATATTTGTTTGTTTCTTGGCAGTTCATAAAATGTTCAGACTACTTCTCCAAAACCACATCTCACAGACATCAATTCTTCTCCTGTCATACTTATTCATTGTCCAGCTGTTAGATGCATAGCAAGTGATCGGAAAGACCATGACATGAATCAGATGCACCTTAATCCTCAAACTGACATCATTACTCTTCAATAATTTGGAGAGGTCTAACTGAATAATTCCCCAGTGCAAGATGTCTCCTGGTTTCCTGACTGCTGGTACCAGGGTGTGTTAGTTGTGGATCCACAATTGTGCATTCACAATTGTGGATAACTCTGATTTTTCTAATATTAGATGAGTAAGCTCTCATAGTCTAGTGGGTAAGTAGTTGTGCTACCAACCAAAAGACAGACAATTCAATTCTACCACCAGCTCAACGGGAGAAAGATGGACAATTGCCTCTCATGTAATTTATAGCCTCTGAAAACCTGCTGGAGGGTCAGGTATAGATTGATTCCGCCTTGATGGCACATAACAAGCAATGGAGATGGACTGACACAGTGACAGCAACAATGGGCTTGAGCATTGACACAGTGACTGCAACAGTGGGCTTGAGCATAGTGGAGATCATGACGATGGTGCAAGATAGAGAACGGTTTTGGTCTATTGTTTATAGGGTCATTACAAATTGGTGTCAACTGGAGGGCACCTAAGAACAGCAACAGCCACATGGACATCACTTTTAGTCAGCTCACCAGTCTCAGAATTGTATGTTCTATATCTTTTCTTCTTCCCAAGTATTTGGACCACAGATTTCTCACTCAGTGTGGTCAGGTTGATGCTCATAGGGAACTTGTGTTACAGAGAAAAAAACTATGCCACATAGGTTTTCACTGACTGATTTTTCAAGCGTAGATCACCAGTCCTTTCTCCTAGTGAACCTCTGGACTTGAACCTCCAGCCTTTTGGTTAACAGCCAAGTGTGTTAACTGCTTGCTTCACCTAGGCTCCTTGAACACAGAGAAGTTAGTAATAGTGAAAATTGCTACATATTACATTAAAGAATGTAAGCAATCACTAATTTGTAAAGGTAGAATCTATTTGAATGGTATATCTTCTGCTAAGCAGATGTTCACGCCAAAATGAATGTAAATGAAATTAATTTTTAAGAATTATTTGACAACTAATAACCTGTAATAATACAGACTTGATGCTTACCTGAGAAAATCATTCTGATCTGTTTCATAGAGAACAAGGAAGTTTAATTCCATTTTACATTTTTTTAAAAATACCACGATTGTTACACAGGAAGAGCACAATGTATATTTCTTAAATGAATGATGCTTTTATGGTTTTATAAATTTTTATTTATTTTACATTAGTTTACGTACAAAGTTCGTATACATTGTGTTTCACACTATCCTACTGAATGTTTCTTTTTAAAAAATAAAGTTGCTTGTGGCAACTTTAAAGTTGCAACATATCAAAATGTTATTGAGTCCTATTTTGTGTTATTAAAAAATATTCCTATTTGTTCTCCATGCTGTATTTCAAAGGCAGGATGCCCATTGCTACTCCCATTCCCATGGTCACCATGAGTAGATTTCAACTCATGGTGACCATCCACCAGTTTCCAAGGCTGTGAAGTTTTGGAGGAGGAGACTCCACTTCTTCCTTCTACAGAGCAGCTGATGGACTTAAACAGCTGACGTTTTGGTTAGCAGTGAAACACACCACACACTATATCACCAGAATGCCTTAGTTAAATTCAAGTATTAATTATCCATAAGTTGATGTCTTGAAGATTCCAACAAGAAGAAGTTTGCATCCTATTCATTCTGTATTTCCTTCTGTTCAAATATCAGCTGTCCTAATTCGGATGTTTGCTGTCATTTTGCTTTGTTTTGGAGTAGATGATTGACAGAATATGTGTGAAAGTACAAGACCACCTCAACTCTTTACGCAACTGTGGGGGAGATGCTATCCAGGAAGACTTAAAATCAGCAGAAAGACTCATGCGTGATGCTAAGAACTCTAAGACGGTATGTTCCATTCCAGGCAATAAAAGAATCTTGCATCTTTAAAGCAAGTCACTTCTATTTAGATCGTGTATAGGACCTTATGAAGTGTAATAACCTGTAATATTTTTTGTAAAAGGGGAGCATATTGACAAGCATAGATAAATTAATAATTTTTAAAAATTCAATTTTATTAACTCCAGAGTAATATGATTTGCTTCAGAATTATTGAGTGCAAGACAGGGCAGGAAGTTGGTAGGGATTTAGGTGAAATAAGACATGACATCAGTTTATATTCAGTTGAAACTTTTTGATGAGTGCATGAGAGTTTCTTGTATTATTAACTTATTTTTCCCCTATGTATTTTGAGTTTTCCATCAGACATATATCTGTGAATTCAGTTTTAGAAATTAGTTGTTTATTTCTTTAGCTCTCTATCCAATTCCAAGAATACTAACATGTAGCTAAGTCAGTTTGTTCCTTTGCCTCCTTTCTATACCCATGCTGATTATCAGTAATCAAAATGTAAAATGACAGAGTATGATTTACAAAGAGTACAATAATGTCTAAATATGTGAGAGGTGGATATAGTTTAGGTGAGTAATATGATACTAGTTCCCAGCTGATATCAAGAAACTTCCATCTGGCTTCTCAAAATTGGAATTTGGTCACTAGAGTGTGACAAATCGGAGAAGCCGGTAGTGGCAAAACTTGGGATCTGATCCTGACTTTGCTATTGGAATCATTCAGTTATTGAACGTCTTCAGTAGAAGATTTAGCTATAAGTCATAAATACTCCTGTAAACCAGATGTGAGCATTCAGGCACGGTGAGGTAAGTACATGGTTGCTGTGGTCTCTGATGGGTGAATGATGGAAGTGGCCACATGGAAGTGTGTCATTGTTGTATGTCATTGCATGAAGCCTTTAAATAGCCTAGATTTCAGTTTATTAATCTAATTAAAGAAAGATTATATCTAACAATATTTCTCTAAATATTGGCTTTGTCCACTTTTTATTAACTTTGCAGTGTCTTTAGTGCCTATTTAATTATTTTCACAATTATGGAGAGGTGTGGTTTGTTTTTTTCTTCTTTTTCTTTCAGCTGTTACCAAACTTATACCATGTGGGTGGTGCATCTTGGGCAGGAGCCAGTGGCTTGTTATCCAGTCCAATTCAGGAGACCCTGGAATCAATGGCTGGAGAAGTTACAAGAGTTGTGGATGAACAACTAAAGGTTTGTATTATGTTGGAAAATTCATTTTGAAAATGAAGTTGTGGTTCAGCTATGAATTATAGCAGTTTGTAACTTGTAACTTATGCTTTATGGCTGTGTGTGTGTGTGTGTGTGTGTGTGTGTGTGTTGGTCCCCTCCCAGATACACACTTGTGTTTATGCATGTTGTTATTTGCTCCCATGATGGAGCAGACTCAAAGCTGTCCCTCCAGTGGGTTTTCAGAGGCTATAAATCATATAGGAGGAGATTGCCTTCTCCTGCAGAACAGCTAGTATATCTGAACCTTGTGCCTTTGGGATTGCAACTTAGCTTCTTACCATTTAAACCACTAGAACTCTCTGCTTATGTATGAGTAGTAAACAATTGAAGATTATGTCTTTCCCAACTCCTTTTAATAGCTCTGGAATAACTCCTTACATAATGAGGTCAAGAAAAATCTCTCAGAATTCAATTTCTTTTTGATGGTAAATCTCTAAATGCATTTACTATATGATAGGCTGCCAGGAACTTCACTGATAAGAAAATGATTGATTTCTACTTAAAGGCGGAAAGAGAGGTCTGCTTTTGGGGGGAAAATGTCCTCTGTTATTACACTTGATTTAGAGAATGGGAAAGATGATAGCAGCTGTGCTCACAATGTCAAGGTGCTGCTTATTTGGGGAGTCTGCCAAGGTAAATAGAAGATGATCCATTTAAGTTGCTGGTTGACAGACGAGGACAGGGATTTGGAATGAAGTTACAACATATGACAAGTAACAGAGACTTGCCTGTAGACTCACTGAATTTAAAAAGCCAAAGGTGATGGGGGGATTTAGGAATTTTAAAGGGTTGAGTAACCTAAGAAGTCCTTGAGTGATGTAAATGGTCAAGCACTTGACTACTGTCCAAAATGTTGACAATTTGAACTCTCAGCAATGCCTACTTCTAAAAAATTCAGCTGTTGAAAACCTGTGGAGCATAGTTCTGTCTTGCACAACATTTGGGCTTGTCAAGAGGTAGGATCAACTCAGTGGGAAATGCCAACAGGAGTAACCTAAGATCAAATTTTTCTTAATGTAACTTTATAAACAGTGGCTTGGATCAGGCACACTTCAATTGTTAATGTAATATCTTTGCTTTTTAATACCTTTAAGAGGTGTTTTGTAATGAATTTTCCCAGTGCGCTATGTTGTGTGCCATTGAGTCAGAATCCATGCAGACCCTCCAGTGAGTTTTCAGAGCCTATAGATCACAAGAGGTGATAATTCTCCCTCAGAGCATCTGTTGGATTCAAACCACTTGCCTTTGGGTTGGCAGTGAAGCTGCTTACCACTAAGCCACCAAAGCTTCCTACAGGTCACTTAATTTCTGGATTACTGCTTCCATGAATGTTGATTGTGAATACAAGTAAAATGAAATTCTTGATAACTTCAGTCTTATTCTCCCTTTATTGTGCTGTTGCTTATTGGTTCTGTTTGTATTTTCTTTATGCAGAAATGTAATCTGTATGAAGGCTATAGTGTTTGAGCTTATTAGTAAGTATTTCAAGTCCTCTTAGATTTCAGCAAGTAGGGTTGTCATTAGCTTATCACAGATTGTTAGTGAGTCTTCTTTTGATCCTGATGGCATATTTTACATAGTCCATCTTCTCGGATTGTTGTTGTTGTTGTTATGTGCCGTCGAGTCGTTTGCGACTCATAGCGACCCTATGTACCACAGCCTTAAACCCTGTTCTATCCTGTGCCAATTGCATTGCCTCTGACACACCCAGCCCGATTACCCCAGTCACTGAATCAATCCACCTCATAGAGGGTCTTCCCCTCCAGCGCCGTCCCTCCACCCTACCCAGCATGATGTCCCTCTCCAAAGACCTGTCTCTCCCTACATGTCCAAAGTATGTCATACGAAGGCCCAGAATCCTTGCCTCCAAGGAGTAGCCTGGTTTAACCCTCTCTAGGATGAATCTGTTTGTTTTCTTGGCAGTCCATGGTACATTCAATACTTT